CCCCCCCCCCCACCCACCCCACCCCAGGTGTCCTTTGTCAGACCTGGAAGGCCACGCTGCCCGAGAAGATGGAGGGCATCGCTGACTCTTGCCTCGAGGTCCCGTGTCGTTTCGATATCCCCATAAAGGAGGAAGCGAACATCGTGAACTGCTCGGGGGGGGTCGTCTGGCAGAAAGGACGGCTCGGCGGCCCCGCGGTCTTCAATGCACAACATCCCCACGGCAACGCCATACAGGTGGGTCCTCTCAGACCGACACACCTTTGGTGACACCTGGTGGACGACGGACTAAAGTCTCACCGTGTTAAAGATACGAGGGAACGCTTTTCAGGTACTTAGAGGCGCTAGCTGTTTCCCCCCCTACTTCCAGTCTTTATGCTAAGCTAAGCTAACCAAGATCTGTCCCTTCGCCTAGAAGACATGACATTGGTTTGTAGAAGAGTATGAGATGTCCTCGTGGACATTGTGTGAGATTGAAGAAGCGGTTCTGCTCAGCCGTCTGTGGCCCGTTGACGGTTGGACCAAAGACAGGAGCTGCGGCTCTCTCAAATCACACCTGACATCTTTGTGAACCTGCGATCCTCACAAGGGGTCTAAGGCTCATGTGTCGTGCTGTTAGGGGGAACTGGTCGGGGACCCGACGAAGAAGAACTGCAGCACCACATTCCACAACTTCCCCAAGAACCAGAGCGGCATCTTCTTCTTCAGACTCAACTGTTTGAACCACGTCAAGTACAATTTCCATGAAGGCGTCGTCATTGACATCCAAGCAGGTGTGCAGTTATTGATCAGTACATGTTTTACTCACTGTGGTGGTTTGAGGGTGGTTCAATATGTATTTGGCTGTTTAGATCTGCAGTACTCTTTGGAGCAAGAGGAGGGAGATGTTTGTGTTTGTATTTTTCTAATAATTGCAGACGACTTAGAACATTGAATCCAGTATGAAAGGCTGACGTGGAAAGGCTTTTATAAATACTCACTAGTCTAGAACCCAGTTTCTGTGGATTCATTCCAAATGTGGGAGTAAAACACTTTCATTTGCACACAAATTCACCCTTCATTTTAATAGATAAAGACCCTTTAATGATTAAAAATAAATACAAAATTGGGACTTAAAGAATAAAGTTGTATTATTATGATTCTTTTGAGCACTTCAGTGTCCATCCAAGGAACCAAATCATCTCTTATGAATGATAAAGAAAATAAAGAACAACTTTGAGCGGTCTGTGGAGATGAACCAGAGCTAAAGGCAGAATTAAGGAGATGAATCCCATCCACTGCTGACGTAGCCCCGTTAATCCTCCTGCACAGAGCCGCCCCCCCCCCAGCTGACCTCTGTGGGTCAGGTGTCGGAGGGAGACCAGGTGAAGCTGCGGTGTCTGGCCCCGGTGCCCTGCTCCACCCTGCCCCCCTCCATCACCTGGCTGCCCCGAGAAGCCTCCAGGCAGGAGCAGACACAGACGCAGCAGGTGATTCACTCGTTCACACGTCACACGACAGGTGGATGTGCTCAGTAAGATAACGTCCATGTCACGGTGTGGGTTTATTTCCTGTCTTATTTTGTATATATATATATATATATATATATATATATAAATATTCTGATAATTCGCATTGATTTTGTGCAACAACTGAACACTGAAGGATCAAATCTTGTTTCAGTTTTTAAACATATCAGATCAGCATTTGCTGTATATTCCATTATTTTTACTGCCTAATTAACTTAAACGAACTTTCGCTACAACTTGTGAATATTTAATTAAACTTACACTGTTACATTATTAAGCGTTTTTACGTTGATTTAAATGTATTTTGAGTTTTCTTTTCCTGCAGTACAGATTTTAATTATAATTCAAAGAGGAAATGGGGCCGTCTATGTGTTTCTGATCAATCAGGTGGTTTTCTTTCCTCTCCACAAAGCAGAGTCTGGACGGCCTGAGGACGATGACCTCCACGTTGACCTTTGCCGCCTCAGCCGAGCATCACAACCAGAGCGTCTCGTGCTCCGTGTCCTACCCGCTGATCAGAGGGGGGAGCAGCCGCCCCCCCCCGGCCACCCACACCCTCACCGTCCTGTGTGAGTGATAGCGGGAGGGGGGGGTCGATGGTACATAACCGTAGGATAGAAACAGAACATAAGTAAAAACATTTATTATGCACAATGGAATAAAATATTGGATCATATCCAGTAAATCCACTATATATAAATACATCCATTTTACACCACATTTAAGTATATTTTATTTTCAATTGATATTTGTTTATATAATGTCATTAGGAGTGTAAAATTATTATACATTTAGCAGTTTAACAACACAACAAATGCTTAGATTATAATTATTGGTGCATGGTTTTATTAAACGTTATTTGTTGAATAAAGGTGGTGGTTTAAATCTGGTCATTTCTCATCTTATCTCAGCTACACCTTTATGTCATAATCTATTTGTTGCTTCTACTTTGCAATGTTGTTGTGTTGTTAATCAAAACCAACTTAGTAAGTAAAATAACATTGAATTGACTAAAAAGTAAAATATTTTGTTCGACTGGACTTCACGCCAATCATAACTCGAACACCAAATCTCACTTTCTGCTTCTCCAAGACGGTCCCAGAGTAACCGTGGCAACGCTCAGCACGTCGGTTCCCGTCCCCGAGGGCAGCAACGTGACCTTCACCTGTCGGAGCGACGCCAACCCGCCTGTGAGCCTCTACACCTGGTACAGAGTGGACGGCGGCGAGGTAACCGCCTTTATTGTGTTTGGGTTTCACCGATTTAGACTGCGATGCACATCCTATGAGATAAACCCAAATCCCCCCCAAAAAAGGCCTCACCGCGAGCTTTCCCCCCCGACAGTTGACGAGGACGGGGAGGGACAGACGCTGGTCCTGAAGGTCACTCAGAAGGACAGCGGGGCTCATCTGTGCGAAGCTCGAACCCAGAAGCTCTCCCAGCGGTCCGGACCTGTGACCCTGGAGGTCAGCGCCGCCACAGGTGAACATCTGACCCCCTTTTTGATCCTCCGAGCGGCCGCCCACGTTTGATCGGTGGCGTGTGACGTGGTGACGGTCCAGCGGGTGAAGCTGAGGGTGGTGTTTTTCAGGCAGCAGGTTGGCGGCGGCGGCTCCCTACGCCCTGTGTGGAGTGTTGCTGGTCGTCTACATGGTGACTGTGGTGGTGGATGTGTATAAGTACCAGAGGTAAGCCCCCCCCCCTCCTCCACCCTCCACCCTCTCACCCCACTTTAACACCAACGGCTCATTTTCTTCCTCTGTTTTGCTTTTCTCATCCACAGTATTTCCGGGAGGTTGAAGGTAAGTGGGAACTTCTCACCCCGAGCGGAGAGAGTGAGTGACAGCCAGACGGTGCCCGCCCCCGCATTGCACTCATAGAGACCTGATAAAGACGCTTTGCCGTCCTGCTCGTCACCGTCTCGTCTCGCTGACATCCTCGTTCCCGCTGACTCATCTCGCGTGATCTGTCACGTCGTCCATTTGAGTCTCTCAACACGTCCGCACTCACAAAACAAAGAAACCAAGTATTTTTAAAAAAGAGATAAAGAGACAAACGTCATGCGTCCAAAGTTCCTCACGGTTTACATCTAGAGCGAAGATCAAAATGTAACTATCGCTGGGAGACCTGTTGGGAGGTTTGACCCTTTCTGAATGTTCATTTCAGCGGATCGAGCTGCAGGTCGAGCCGAGGCCCCGGAGCGCCGCCTCCGACTACGAGCAGCTCCAGGTATCTGCAGACCTCCATCGCCAAACCGCTGGGCGCGCGGCCTCCTGCTTGATGGTTGCGTTTTTGTTTGACACATCTGGATCATTTTCAGATTCAGTGCTGGCGTCGCGCGTAACGTTGCTCTGTTGACGCGTGCTGATGAAGGCGGCTCGTTGTTCCGGGTGTTTCCAGAGATCAGAGCTGAGCGTTGATTTCGATCATTTAAAGTTGAACCTGATTTCTCTCATGAGTTCTCGCCTGTGTTTCTTTTCAATCCCAACAAGCCACGTGGGCCGATGACTTCTGAAGAAGCGCACAACTACGAGAACCCCATCGCCCTGCGAGCCACGTACAAGAACCTCCCCCGCCGCACAGGACCTGAGGCTGAAAGGGTCTAAATGTTTTTACAGAAGCGTCATTTTGTGTCTTGGAAAAGCTTCACGTATCTCTTCCACTCAAATCCTGCTTATTTCTTATTGTTTTTTACTTTACTATCGCATGAAACAAATATTGTTACTGCAGACTTTTTCCACGCACGTCCATTTGTTTATTAGTAAGTGCTTAGAAACTGGAATGTTATAAGACATTTGTGTTAGAATAAACTTTGAAGATGTTAAGTAATGAAATGTCTGTAACATACAGGTCGAAATACCACAAAGGGTCATTTAAAACAGCCCCCGTTTTACCCCGTCTGAGAGAGAGAAGTAGTGGCGATGTGTCATCCTCATTCAAAATGTGATTTTGTGTGTGTGTGTGTGTGTGTGTGTGCCGCGCTTGTGCGTGACGTTTACGGTTTTGACGTGTAGCCTAAACAACATATCAGGTAATCTTCCATAACTCAGCGCCTCTTACTGACATCACCACAGTCACCCAAATGATCGTGTAGAAGCACTAAAACAGTTTTAAAATGTTCATAATAATCATTTTCTGAATTTTAAATAATGATAACTCATTTATTTCGTCATTTTAAAGTTGTGTTTGCCACATCGTCCAGACGGACAGGGAGCCGTGTTCCTCCTGTGCTTCTCCGAACTACTTGAATTTGACGCTTAAGTTTGACGCTTTGATGCTGAATTTGAGTCTTGGAGGCATCATCTGCTTGAGGCCATTGCGCCCAGCGGGAAACTGACTGCGAGCAGCGGGCTGACTGTGACCGACGCCGGGTCTGGATTTTGGTCTCACAGCTTTTCCCACCGCGTCGTTTTATTCACTGCTTTCACTTTTGGTTCAGAATAAAAAACAGATGGCGAACTCTTAACTTAAGATTTGACACATCGCAGGTTTTGGTTTGGCTTGCCTGTCGCCACGGAAACCAAACCCGCAGCATCCGTCGCCGGCACCGCGTTGGCCCCCGGGGTCGGGGTCGGGGTCGGGCCGGTCGGTTCCCCTGTGAGCGAACGGGAGCGGCGGTGACGGGACCAGTGAGAACACACAAAACGGCTGCCCTGCTTGGGGGAAAAAGAAAGCGCACGATGACCTCAACCTCCTGGAACGTGACCCCGCGGTGACGTCACAGAGCCGCCGGGGCGCTACGCCGACGCGCTTCACTTCACGTCCACGCTGGAGGTCCGGATTCCTGCATAATGAGGCCTAAAAATAGCCCCTTCATTGTGCCTTTACCGACACTCGTCTTCCCCTGCTGATGTAATATATGCAACACTCGTTTATTTATTGATTCTAACGAGCAAACAAGAAAAAAAGAAGTCGTTATCATGCCGCCCCCCCCCCCCCCCCCCTCTCATGGACCCACTCTCTGCTGCATTCTTAACATTTCTGGCGTCCACAGAGATCAAAAAAAAAAAAGTAGAAGATCTCCGGAACGTGGGTGTTTGGGGAAATGATTAATGGGCTTGTGAAAAACACCGTTGAGGTCACGCACACACACACACACACACACACACACGCACACACAGCATCCCCATAATGTCGTTGTCTTTGATGAGAAGAAGCGTGCGCGCGTCGGCCCGGCGTGACGTATGTTTCCGCGCATCACAAAGGTCGGCGGCTGGAATCCCTCCCGTGAGCTGCTGTTATCCACGTTCAGGCGCGGAGGGTCGGGTCCTTTCAGGATGCCGCTCCGGGTCAAGTATTGCGTATCGGTTTGATATCACAAGCATTTCCTCACGAGCAGGAAATCAGAAGCTTCATGGAAACGTTCGTGAGCGTCATTCCTCCAGACTTCAGTCTGCTGACGAGGCTTCAACCAAACCACGATCACTCAATGAAGTGAGTAACTAAACGCTTCTACAACTTTTGCTTTTCGGCAGATATTTCCCCACTCGGTGACATAAAAAGTCTGACTAACTTGTGACTTATTAGTTGGACCTCTTTGTTTGTGTCTATGCAACGGGAAAAGTACCACCTGCATCGTGGTTTTTATCAACGGCTGGATACAGGAGAGGTTTCATCCACTGAATCCACTGCGTCGGACATAAAAACGTGCGTCACAGCGGGGCGGGGAAGGCGGCCGAGGCCCGGCTTTGACTGACAGGTGGTTCAAGCCCATTGAGCCTTGTCAACTGAGCTGCAGATCCAGGTGACATTTGTTCACTTTGCTGCAGATGTAAATGTAGGCATTTTGATTACAGCCACTTTAATCAGGTGTCAAAGTAGAGCGAGCGAACGATACCGAGCTGAGGCCATAACCCAGAGCTGGGTTTACGGCAGGTTCCCCGAGAAGGTTCCTCCTCCTTGCCTTTCAGCTGCGAACTTGTCTCTTTGAGTTAGCAGACGGAGGCCTGTGTAAGAAGACGTTTGGACACCGGACGAGATGTTTTAGTGCCACAAACGCTCATCGATGTGATAAGTAGATCTTTGTCACTCTGTGGCTCGGTTTTCCTTTTTAATAATCTACCGCATCCTGATGCTGCTTTCATTTTTATTCATGATTAACTTCACAATCGCCTCAGCAAAGAATGTCATTTGAGGCTTTTAGAGGAGGAGGGGGGGGTAGGAGGTGGGGTAGGAGGGGGGTAGGAGGGGGGGCATGAGGGGGTGTGTGTGGGGGGGGTGATGCTTGCATGGCGGCGATGCCTGATGACTCAGGTGATGTGTCATGCAGCGATGCTTTAAAAGGGAACTTTCACACATGTCCACACACACAGTAACACACACACAAAGTACAGTACTGGACTGAAGAGGCTTGTTTACCACAGCGGCAGCCGGAAAGATGAAACGTAAGTTTGTTTCTCGTACTTCTGGATGTCGGAGTGTGAGTGTGCTTCACTGCACGTGGTCCTTCAGTCAGCGCGATGGGAGACAGTTTGTGAATGAATGTGTGTGTGTGTGTGTGTGTGTTTGACCTGGTTTATTTTTTGAATCCGACACTTTTTGGTGTCAGCGGGGCAGTGGTTGTGTGGTTGTGTGAATGTGTGTGTGTGTGTTTCGGGGGTCCCTGAGCTGTTTCTGTATAATTGTGTCCATCAGTATCAAACTTAAAGGACTAAAACAGAGACGCGTGAATGCTCGTAGTGTTGCTTTCTAAGGCAGACGGTCACTGTTGACCTCACTGATGAACGTCTGCAACCTTCATCTGAATGTGCTGACGTTCCTGGGAAAAGAAATGGTGTGTTCTTTATTTCAAACGCACAGAACAAAATAGAACTAAGCACAAGATTCTGAAAATGTGAAGCTCAATTATTAACAAAAAAACACTTTCACTTCACTTTCTATTAATTATAAACTCCAAAATCTGGAAGACTGCCGCTTTGATGATGACGTTAATGTTACACAACGTGTGTGTTTGTAGGCAGGTTTGTGGTGCTCGTAGAGTAAAAGCCCGCCGTAACAGACCGTCTTCCGCCTGAAGGATTGTGTGTTTTCGTTAATGAAAAGTTGTAACCGGCGGGCAGCGGAGGTCTTCTCCCACAGCGCGACACAAAGCCGATCATTCGCTGATCACTGCAACCTGATGACTCGCAACAACAACGTGTCAGATGACACGCGGGGGGGGGTCAGGCAGCCAGACGATGATGTCATCCTCTCATGTTGTAATGTGATTTGCACTCTCACTGTATTCGGCCTCCGACACCGATTGTGTAGCTGCGGAAATGCGTCATTCTTCCTCAGCCAGTCGCTAACTTTCTGCCACGTCGCACCGCCTCGTTCCTGCTCGGAGCGAGAGAAAGTCTTCTACGTCGCCTCCACGACACCAGCAGGGGGGGGGGGGTCCCTGCGGCAAAAACGATGGTTTTTAACGCGTTAACGCGTTTTCACCGAATCCTCCAAACTGTCAAAGACGCCAAAAACTCTGATGGGAGCTGCGGTTTACACTGTTCAGAAAGCCGGAGGGGCATTAGGAACCAGTGCGACCAGCGCGGCGACGTTCCACAGTCAGCCAAACGTCTCGCCGCGGCTTCCACAGTTCCTAGAAGGTCTGCGGGTTTCTTCGGGTTTCATCGGTTGGCTTTGGGGGAAGTCGGCGCTTCCTGCCAGCCGCTGTTCACGTCCGCTCAGACGTTCATCGGAGGTTCCTGACATAAAGAGGAGGCGTGTCGGACAGAGGTTCCAGCGGAAGTGCGTCGGCGTGTGTTTGGCGTGCGCAGAGTAGATGGAGGACAATCCTTCCCCGAGCAGTTTGCTCTGCCAGAGACGTGACTGCACGCAGCAGCGCCCGGTACCACACCGGCTTTGTGCTGATGTTTTCTTTAGGAAAATCCCCACCAGCCTTATGATGGAATTCCAGAGTTTCCTCCCTGCTGCAGTAGCTTGTATTTAATGTGGTGTTTTGGCAGGAAGCCGCCATCTGTTTTCTTGTCATTTAGGCCATTAATGGGATTATATGTATTCACACAGTACTTCATTCATCTTCATTCATCTCGTGTGTGCAGTCGTTCAGACAGAGTCAAGCTTCCACCTGTAGATGTTCTAACTCAACTCAGCCGTCTGTGGTGGAAAACGCTGCCACACTGACGAGACGGCCATTGGGGGCTGGAGGTCAAGGCGCAACTCAAAGTGATTCAGGTATTTGATGTTGTCTGTCGATCAGAGGCAGCACATTCCCACGTTCCAGATCTTGGAATAAGATCCAGACGTACTTGTTAATTCAATAAAGATTGTTTTGCAGCCGTTCTGGTTTCCCGCCTGCAGCGGAAAAACGAGCCTGAACAGGAATAAAGAATTGTGTTTGAGATGAAATCTGGTCAGAGGTCAGGGGTCAGGGGTCAGGGGTCAGGCTTTACTGTTCTGTGTAAACTGAAATGTGATTATTTAAACATTTATAGAAGTAGTGTCCTCTGTTAATCATGGGACTAACTGTAACTACACCGTGGTGTAAAGTGTTCTGCTTGATTGTCGCTGCAAAAAAACACATGAAACCGTCAAAAGACAAAACGTCTATTATTTTAAGGAAAAGCAATGAAGGGTTTTTATGAACAAAATTGAAACGAAGTCTGAACATTATTTTGCTGAATAGACAAAAATGCATAAAAAGCCCCTAAGTTGATCTCTTGCACTCCAAACAAAAACCGGACCACCCTCTCTGTGACCTTTGACCTTAAAGTAGCTGCTGCCTGAATGACAGTAAGAGTGTTTAAAGTGCTCCGTGTCAGACAAAGCGGACGCTTTCCCTTTGAAGAGTGCAGCCGGACGGCGTCGTCACGGTGACGTGACACGCGGGGAATGATGTGAGTCACGGTGCAGCACCAGCTCCCTTCTCCTTTACACCAGGAGGCCCACAGCGGGGGGGCGGGGGGGCAAAGCGTTCCTCACATTCCTTCACCCTGATCCTACACCTACAGACCGTTCACTCCTTTGTTGATTTACAGACGTGCAGCGTCTTGGTTGAGGTCCTGCTTCCTTGCGCGGAGATCGTCGGCGATTTTAGAAAGCAGCAGAAGGGACCGAGACAAAGCAAACCTCAGAGGACTTATTCACTCTCCGGTTGACTGAAGGAGATGACAGCCGGACGTTTCATTTCCGTGTGTTTGTCAGAACGCAGGATGAGGCGTTCAAAGACAGGAGGCCCGTTGATTCCTGAGAGATTACTCAGACTCAAAACATTGAGTCTTGTGTTTCCTTCTCTCACTGAAACGCAACGTCTTCATATCTAGTACTATTATTATTATTATAACACTTTTAAATGTACTCATCCTTTCATTTATCCATTATTTTACTTAGGACATGAAGGCGTTGGTACATTTTGATTAAGTGCAAAGGGTGAATTGTTGAGATATTCCAGCCGCGGTTTATTTATCAGGCTTTTAATACATAAAAACACAACATTGCACCTGAACATATCTGTTGGGTACATGTGTGTGTCCATCATTGTGTTGGTGTGTTTGTCTATGTGCATCCATGCAGATCTTTACGAATGAAGGATGTATGTCACGTATCTGTTCCTTTAGCTCATGTTCATGTGCACATGTGTGTGGAGGGGCGGGGCGGGGGGGGGGCAGTTATTATATCAAAGCAGGAGGTCAAAGCCCTGAGAGTCATGGTGCTGTTTGTGCCTCCTGTTCCTGAACGAAAAGTGCATTTCTTATTAAATATATATAAAAGAAAATAACTCCAAACTGCTGATTCAAACTTCTGAAACCAGAAAACGTTGACCAATGGTTCAAATGGCTGTAATGTGAAAGGTGTCGTCTTTTAGATTGAATGAGATTACAGGTTTAATGATTGTTAGTGATTTTAGTGGAGGTAGAGTCTGAAGAGGTGTGTCTTTGCGGCGGAAGATGAGGCTCTCTGCGGCCCTGATGTCACCAGAGAGCTCGTTCCATTCCAGATAAACCCACGAACAATTATCGCTGAGGCTTCAGAGGCGTCATCCAGGCGTCCAGGGCTTCCGCTCCGTTGGCCTCTTTCCAGCAGCCGGAAACGGTTTTCGGTGACGAAGCTCTGAAGTCAAACTGACAGCAGGCGAGAGATTACAGCTGAACTCAATTGAGCCTCTGGGTTTTGCGGGAGGACGAGACCAAGAACGGAACTGAGAGTAGACTTTTACTCATCAGGGGACGAGAAACACGACCAGTCTGACCTATTTTGGTCTCTAAACTTTTGATCACACTCAATCTCTAGTTGGAGCTCATGCGCTGGAGATTGGTCTAAACCGACTATATGACCGAGTCACAGAAGAATTAACTGACAGCGACGCTGAAACGTAATTATTTTCTTTAGATTAGCGACTGCAGTGTTCTTTTGTCCGATATTAGGCCTGTTTATTTATTTGTGCACAGTCATTTACATTTCAGAGGTTGTTGCTGTTATTCAGACACAGAAACATAAGAAAACAGAGTCCTGTTCCACAAATACTGAAATTATCGTCATAAAAATGAAAGAAAAAAGTTTCTCCGCTGAGACGACAAAACACAACCGTTGCAGAAAAAAAAACGACAACCAGAAAACAAAGAAACGTGACAGCAACAGTCTTTTAAAAAAATCTCTTCTTGTCTTTTCAGTAATGCATGGCTCCGCCCCTCGTCTCCTCCACCTGCTGCTATTGGCTGAGCTGTTTGTCCGTTCGTCGCCGCGGCCCGCCCACTGCTCGCCGCTCTGTGGGATGTTCAGGCCGATGGTCCTACAGCTCAACAGCTTGAACAACATGTCCAAAAAACTCCACCACTTGGTGAGACCAGCTATAATTATGGACATTTCAATATTTGTATGTGTTTATACAAGAATTTTATTACTTTAACTATGACATTAAAAAAAAATCCTTTTCAGCAGTTGATGTGCGATGTAGTAGTGTACAAAATAAATATTTTCCATTCCAACACAATGCAGTCCAGATCCACACAACACTGACAAAAAGGAAAATATGTTTGTTCTTATGGCAGTTTTTTCAGTCATCTATATGACGACGCGTTTTTGTTTTTTCTCCCCCGCTGTTTAAAATCACAGCTGTTCTGTTTTCCAATGTAATGTGTTTTTAAGCAACATTCCTGCGCCATTATGTTCCCACCAGACGGACCATGAACTCGTGATCTTTGAGGGCGTGGAACACCGACTGGACGACCTTCCTCACATCCAACACACCGCGGCGCATTTCAGCTCACTGAAGGTAACGATTCTTACAACCGGGAAACGCGCCTTGTGCTGAGCGGGATCTTTAATGGTTGATTTTAAATGTCTCCACAGGTGAACGAGTCACTCTCCCAGCTGTTGCGTTACACTCGGTCCTTCAGGCTGCACGTTGATTGGTTGAAAACAGCCAAAGAAAACGTCAGTTTGTCCTCTCGGTCCACAGGGGGCGCCGGAGCGCACCTCCTCCGGCTGTCCGACCTCCTCACCGCGTCTCTTCTCCAGGTGAGGCGACCAGCGCGTCTTATTCGCCGCATGGGGGGGGAAAAATGGTTTAAAAATAAAGGAATAAAAGTTACAACTATTTATAAATTCAAAATAAACCTGAATTTATAAAGAAATTAAATATAAAGCCTGAAAGTTGCAGACGGAAAGGGAAAACACAGAAAACGACCCGTGAATGACTGAAAGAGAATTGCTTGACAAAAAGAAAGAAAGAAATTGAAATGCTGGAAAATTATTCCATAACATTACAATTCATTCAGCATCATCATATTACAGTTCAAATTGTCTCATTAACACCAGCGCATCTAATTCACACATACATGAACTCAGAGTGCTAATTATTAACAATGATTTAGGGATTTCACACCTGACCTCTCCGTCCTCAGATGGGAGAGGAGGTTCCTCCTTCGCTGTCCCCCCCCCTGGCTCCCATCTCCACGGCCTTCGACGTCCTCCGCTTCTCCGTCGAGATGTCCGAGCGGCTGATGGTCTTCTGTAACTGGTCGAAAAGAGTCCTGCTGCGTCTCCAGAGACTCTGCGACTGCCCGAGACGTTAAAGCTCTGGCCCCAGCCAGCAGGCGCCGCCCCCCCCCTCCCTATTTATATGCTATGTGTTTACTTAACATCAGGGATTGTTGGGTCCCCCCAGCTCTTGTCCCGCCCGAAGCACGTTGACAACCATCGGGTTGTCATCGGGACGGGTGCGGCATAAAAAGTGGTGCAACCATTCGAGGTCCCCAGAAGAACCCTCCTGACTTTGGCGATTCCCGTACTTTGCCTCGACCCCCACCGGCAGGTTGATACGTGTTGATCTTTTTATAATTGTTGGCTGGATTTGTTGCAGACACTCATGTCCATCAGGTCAAACTTTAAATGAGTCTGATACTTTGGTTCATGACCAAATGCCTGCGGAGCTAATGACATTCCCGTCTGTGTTTATTTTTATATTTTGTACGATTCAGCAAACGTTGTCATGCTGACATGCTGAACCAGGGTGCACAGGCGTCGTCATCACCGGCATATAATTTGTCGCAGGAGTGACCAGATGTTTGGTTTTAGGTGCTTTGATTCAGCAGTTAAAGCAGAATAAGTTGGTAACGTGTTCTTAAGAAATGTGTCATATCTCTTTTTTTAAAATGTGCCGTAGTGATGCAGTGTGCAGAGGAACCCCAACCGGTGACCTTTACTCCCTACGAGGCTGTTTACATTCACAGTGCCTGTTCCGGTCCAGGAACGACCAGAAAACTACTCCTGTTGTTTTATACTTATTTAGGATGCTATTTATAAGCTTTTATATATTATTGCGTGAGATGCAGGCATCTCGTTTGTTTTCCATGAGTTATCTATTATGTCATATTTAATATTAATAATAAAGTATTGTCATAGTAATGACTTTTCACAGTATTATTTATATATTTTGCTTTTGTATCTTTGACATGAAGAACTGAATAAAGTTTTACACTTGAAAGAAAGATCTCCGTGGTTGAAGTCCTCCTTGCTATGCACCACCCAGTGGAAGCACTCTTGGTGTTGAAAGTAAACACCACGTATCTGTGTAAAGTAATAAAGCTCGACGGCACATCTCACAGCCTCCTCCTCCGTTTTAAAGTACCCTCACGCAGCGAAAATTGAATTTCCTTTGAATTTCATGTTCAATTTCTGCAAGTAACAAATAATCTTTTTTAAATTCACTTCAATCTGTAAATGAAACAAGTCAGTAAAGTTCTTCTGAGGACAATTGTTCTGGCACTAGAAGAGAGCACTGTCGCTTTAAGAGAGGTCACTGTGGCTTTAAGAGAGAGCACTGTGGCTTTAAGAGAGAGCACTGTGGCTTTAAGAGAGATCACTGTGGCTTTAAGAGAGGTCACTGTGGCTTTAAGAGAGAGCACTGTGGCTTTAAGAGAGAGCACTGTCGCTTTAAGAGAGAGCACTGTGGCTTTAAGAGAGAGCACTGTGGCTTTAAGAGAGATCACTGTGGCTTTAAGAGAGATCACTGTGGCTTTAAGAGAGAGCACTGTGGCTTTAAGGGAAAAAAATGTGCTTATACAGAAGGTTAATGAAAGTTACTCAATGAAATGGACGTGTGGGGGGGGGATTACCGGGTGATAGAGGGACATAATCCTGGACTAGGAATAGAAAAGAGAGGCCAAAATAAAGACGTGTTTTGTACCCAGAGAGACAGAGAGCAACATGTGATTGTTGTTGGCATGTTGGCAGACAGATAGACAGCTTGTGTCATCTGGATGCCACAGGACAGGGGAGAAACAACACACACACACACACCTGTTTTATGCTGTTCTTGCTTCAGCTGCCAGAGGACACAGTCTGCAGATCACGGTCAATACGCAGCTGGATTCATATTCCTCCGACACAAGAAGGAAAAGACACAACTTGACAAAGAACTATTTGACTAGAGCTCCTCTGACTTTTATCCAGACTTCTGTGTTATTGGTGCTTTTTCCACATTGACTTGTGCCACAATCTACGTCGGTTCTATGCAATCAGACCACTAAACCCAATTATTCTCAAGTTTGATATTTTTCTTATCCATATTTCTGCAAACATGGACTTGAATGTTACACTCTTCTATTATAGTGGTGTGTCTCTTGATTGTGCTGCACTCTCAATAACGCAGGTTCAAGCGACACCACTTGGTCGGGTTCAGTAAAAGACCATATTTTGGTTGAAGTGGTTATTTGTCTCCGTTTGTACAAGTCCTTGTGTTTGACCCGCCCGTGAGGGTCAGTGAGAGTTGAATAGCCTTTAGAACCTCAAAACCGTCACAGTTCATGCAAACCCAATGCTGTACATGCTGTGTACAAACAGCGCGGCCACACTCACGCATGGAATCGTGCATACGAACACACTCGGTCCCGGGCGTCCTTGCTTGCACACACGGCTAAGCGGGAAGGAAGGGAGGAAGGAACACACACACAAGGACCCTCTGTAGCGTCCAGGGGAGGAGCGGAGGTGAGGACAGACATGAGATGTGACATTCAGACGTTCAGTGTGGAGAGCTTCTCCTCCAACTGAGAAGCCAACACACATCTCTCTCTCTCTCAGACTGAGGCGCGCTGTTTTTTTTGTGCTGAAGGAGGAAACAAGTGCAGCAGAAGTGAAGGATTTCCTGACAGGTGCACCTGGTAAATGAAGGGAATTTATGCTGCACAGATCAGTGACTGAAGGTCAACGGCGCCGAACCGCGGCTGCAGAATGACGGTAAGACAAAGAATGATGAAGATACAACTAGATGCAAAAAAAAAAGGTTCACTATTGTTACGATTGATTCTTTTTTAAAACTGTTGTTGGCTTTTAAAGTCATTTGTTACTTATTGTGAATAAAACAATATTCATGAAGTTATTTTGTTAAATTGAGGCTCTGGTGTCTCAATACCACACTGATGATGAACATATTTATACTGGTGTTTCTAATCATAATTCTCGCACACATATAACTTGTTTGGTTTTATTAGATGCTGGACCTTGTTGAAATGGTTAGTGCAACATGTATATATATATACATATATATATATATATATATATATATATATATATATATATATATATGTGTTAGTGAAAGGCAGAGGAGGGGAAGGAGAAGCAGAAGCTCAAGCATTCGTTGTTGGCATGTAGGTGTCGTTTTACAGGCTTTAGCTCCAACTCTACGCTGATGATCCCGTCCTTCATCACGATGTGTTCCTGCTCCCCAGAGATCAACTTCCATGGAGGACACACACACTCAGTCATTCCAACCTCTGTGCGTGTATGCGTGTGTGTGTGCGTGTGTGTGTGTGTGCGTGTGTGTGTGTGTGTGTGTAGGTCTGTGGGGGATCAGACAGGCAGAGGAACCTCAATGCAAAAGAGAAGTGTATGAGAATTGGACTTTACTTTATGTCCACTTTGATTTACTTCACTAATACTAAACATTTAAACTTTAGAAACATTTTAGAACATTTTAGCGCTTTTTAGAAACATTTAAACTATAAATGTGTTCACATGTGGATCAGACTCTCTGCTGCACTGTCCTGGCAACGCAGAATGTTTCTTTATAACTTTTATTCAATTGATTTCTAGCAAAAATGATGTACGAATGTTGCGTCTGGGGGGGTCGGGGGTCACGGTCTCTAATGAGCGGGAATGAGCCGCCCCCGCCGGGGCCCCGGGGTGCGTTCCAGACAAAACAAAGATGGGTGTGGGTGAGAGAAATAGGGGTGGGGGGGTGGGAGGGTAGTAGGGGTTCTATTAACAGACTTTCTCATCCCCGGGGATCGCTGTTGCTGCCGTCGCCATGACGAAAGTCAACACTGGCGCCGGGCGAGGCGCATTTCAAAGGGTCGTGGGGGATTTCACTCCCCGCACAGGCATTTTGATACTCACCCATCGGTGTTAAATATAGACTTCTGGTTTTGTTTACTGATTCATGTACTCCGTAAACATCACAGGGCTTCTTGTTTCACGGGAGGACGCCGACGTCGAGGTGTGAAAAACGCCAGTGATGATGACAAACGTGTGTGTGTGTGTGTGTGTGTGTGTGCGCTCAGGCTGCCGCGAAGCTCCTGGATGAGATGTGCCACCTGGCGGCTCAGTCTCTGACGGCGATGGACACGTCGGAGCACTTCCGGGTGGTGAAGCTGCTCGGCGAAGGCTCGTACGGGAAAGTCATGCTGGCCGTGCACCGGCAGAGAGGTGAGGGAGACTAACGCACCGGCAACACAAAGATGAAAAGGCCGAAGATCAGCATCCGTCCCGTGTGTCCTCCAAGGTACCCCGATGGCTCTGAAGTTCTTCCCCCGCGAGTCCACGTCCCTCTTCTCCTTCTGAGGAGTACAACCTCTCGCTGTCCTTCTGCACCACTCGTCCTCACCAGGCGCTGGGGATCGCTACTCACGCGTCCACTACGTCTTCGCCCAGCAGGCAGCTCTCGGAGACT